TGTCTGTATGTGTGTGTGAGCATGTGCTTGCTTGCTCACACATACTTGGTATGTTCTGTCACTGTGTGGTGCAGGTTGCATATTTGGGGTTTAAGTAAAGGCTGGTAAGCTACAGCAACAGATTTTTGGGGTTTTTTTATTTTTATTTTATCCGCCTTACTATATATCTCTATGTTTATGAACACCCACATACGTGTTGACTAGATCACATGGGTTTATTTTTGTCTGACATATTCAATTCATTAGCACTATTATAACTCTCCAACTATGATGATGATTAACATTGATCTAAAATTTTATCACCATCTGTTTCTATTGTTTGGTTTTCTCTTCCCTTTATGTGGTTTGATATTTAATGTGGACGACCTGGAAAGTAGTTCTGTCTTTCCCTTTTGATTCCAACTTTCTCACACGCTTGCACTGTTACTTCCTATTTGCTTGTTATTGGTTACTTGGTTGCTTGTTTGTTTGGTTGGTTGGTTTTTGAGACTTGGCTTGCCCTCCCTGCAGTCACAGGTGCGCTTGGCCATGACTGACTTCATTTTCTTACACTGGATAATTGGGATTTTAACCCAAGTCCTTGTGCTTGCATAGCAAGCAGGCTTCTCCACTAAGCTAAATTCCTCCAGCCTTTATCCTAAAGCCTCTAATTTGGGTAATTATTTTTATTCTTTTAAGGTTCCACAATTAAAGGGATTTCAATTGGGTTTTTGTTTGCTAGTTTCTTTATTTTTTTCTACATTGGGCTTATTCCTGCTCCCTTTTAAATGTAGATTCAAGTTACATTTCTTACTGTATTTGTTTTTTCATTCTTTGCTCTTTGAGCCTTTAGTTATACTCATAAAAAAAAATTCTGAGTCACATTTTTGATTGCTGGTGCCTGTGTTTCTAACAAAGACTATCTCTTTCTTCTTCAGCCTATTGTCTCTTTGTCCTCATACCCTAAACTCACTGTGCTCCAGTCTACACTTTACACACATACCCTAAACTCGCTGTGCACACTCAATAATTCCAGTGTTCTATATTTTCCTGTTAGTATTCATGCTTGCAACAGGTGCTACATTGACCTCTAGATAGGCGGGGTTTTTATTTAATTTTTTCAGAATTTTATACATGAGTCTTGTTCTTATGTGGTTTCTACCTCTCATTCTCTCCCTTCCAAATCACCCTACATCATCCAATACTCCTTCCCAAATTTACAGTCTCTTTTGTTATTACACACACATGCATGTACAGACACACACACACACACACACACACACCCTACTGAAATCATTGAGTGCTGCTCCTCATATGTCCATGATATTAGGACTGGCCACTTTGGATCGGATAATCTATTAGTGGGTTTATTGCTAGAGAAAACTGATTCTCCCCTTTTCAACAGCCATTGGTTTTTGCTTGTAGCTATTCTTCCAGAGAGGAGATTTTGAGAAATTTCTCCCATCCACACTGATATGTCACCTGATGTCATTATGCAGCTCTTGCTTAGGCAGCCATGTACTTGAGGTTTCCTGGCTACAGCATCCTTTCCATGTCTATAAGAAAATATTGGCAGCTGATGTCCTGGTGTTCTGACTGTTAGAATCTTTCCACCTCCACTTCTGTGATTTTCCCTGAGCCCTGGGTGTAATGGCTACACTGTAGATGTGTCAGTTGGGGTTCGTTACCCAGAGTCACCCCTTCTCTGTGTGAGAACTAGGTGGGAGCCTCTGTACCACTCCTTGACATACACTCAAAGGAGTTTATGCCCTACCGAGGAGACACCATTTATCTATTCTCTTAGTTGTGGAGTCTAACTGAGAACCTTTAGATCTGAGAATATAATCTGAGATAACTGCAGAAGCAATGAAAGAAGACAAGGACCATAGGGAAGGAGAGAAAAGACACTCTGTAGAAGAGGATAGCAGGATACCCATATGTGTGAAGAGGGAAAAGGGGAAGCAGGAGAAGCTGTAACTGTGGGCAAGACAATATGAAGGAGGAGGGAAGATTGAAAGAAAAATAACACTAAGGCTGTTTGAAAGCCATGGGGAAATATATTATTTTATAAACCTACTTTAGAATATATATATGAGATATATGTATAAATAAAAATGCATATGTTCTAATGGAATCATGCAGCATTGAGTAATAAGGCCCCACAAGAACTAAAGACCATCTAATGAAAATCCCAGTCTTGGTATGGGAAACCTTTCTTTGACTTATAAATCAGAGGGTCCAGAAATCCACCAAAACAACAAAGGCCATTTCCATTACCCTTGGGGGCCTCCCAGAACTTGAAGATAAGGCCCTATTACTGAACACCTTGGACACAGGACTTGGAGGAACCCACCTGGAATTGGTCTGGAAGCCTCCTCACTGAAACTAGCTCTCCCAAGCAGCAGCCGCTATGCAAACTGCCAAGGGAGAAAAGCAAACAATAGGCCTAACTCCTCTGCAGCATAATGAAAAGGAAAGGAAGCTGACCTTTGGTGTCATTTAGCCAAGAGAGAGCTGGCTTGTCAGGAGAGATCTGCTCTCTCCTCTGACCTGGTCTCTTGAACAAGGGCTATCACCTTTATTCATCAGCACAGCAAATATGGTACCAAGGGGGAATGAGGGACATTTACAGAGTCTCACAAGGGGAGAGATTGTTCTTTGGCCCTATTAACTCAGAACAACACACAGTTTCACAATCAGACGCTGTCAGTCTGTACCAACATGTGGCTTTCAACATCTTTTCAGTACCTCACTGCTTTCAGCAAATGTGCTTAGGTCTAGCCACTGTACCTTATGCATACATACATTGTCCTGAATTAGGGGTGTGAATGGTAACAAAGGAAAAACAAGTAACATGATCCATCAGGGCGTCCAAAACATAGTAAGACTGATTACATTGTTTTTCTTAAAGGGCAGCTGTTTCTGACTCAGTATGTAAGAAGAATGAGTGCATAGTTCTAAATGATTTCAAAGCACATTATTAACTTGGTGAAAGGTTGGGTGAAAGTTTGATTTGTAAAGACAAGCTTCAAACAGCATTTCCCAGAAAAACCATTCCCACACAGGTAAAAAACCTATGAACCACAATGACCAGTCCAGCAAATCGTTTCTAATGGTACAATGGTGACACTTCATATTGTGGGTAATTAAAGGTGTCTAATTGAACTAAGTCCCATTCTATAGAAAGAAATTTATGCCTACTGTAAACCTAGACAATTATCCATAATTGGAGAGGTCATAGACACTAGGGAAGCACCTGTTACTGTGTCTTTCTAAATCATTGTAGCTTTGATTGTATTGGAAATTCTTATCTTCATAACCACAGATAAATGTAGCTCTCACTCCTCATCGAAGAACCTTCTTTCACATTTAAATCTATTTAGAATTTTATACATGAGTAATTTATACATGAGTAATTTATACATGAGTAATTTATACATGAGTAATTTATACATGAGTATTTATATCAATTCTATCCCTCCTTTTTTCTCTTTCAAACTCACCCTGTGTTCTCCCCAATTCATGAATTCTTTAATTATTGTTGTTTGTATATACAGACATAAGTATATATACATGGACAACTGACTGGGTCCTTTTAATGTTGTTTGTATGTATTCAAGGGTGACCTCATGGAATTGGATTCATCCAATGAGGGATAAGTTCCTAGAATGTATACAGGACATTCTGTTCTCAACACAAATATATCAAATCCCATCCCTAATGAGAGAATGAACAAAACAGATAGTTCTCAAAAGAAGAAAAAAATGCCAAAAAAATACATGACAATAATGTTCAAAATCTTTAGTCCAAGAAAATGCAAATCAAAAACAACAGTGAGGAGCTGGAGAGGTGGCACAGTGGTTAAGAGAGCTTGCTCCATAATTATGCTGGCCAGCATCACATCCCAGCAAGCATGGAACAAGCTGCAGATCAGCACTGTGAGGATCCAGAGACAAGAGAATTTCTCAACCCCAGATTCAGGGAAGCCCTGTTTCAGAGGAATAGGCACCAAGTGGTCCAGAGGAGAAATTTCTTCTGGCTTCTGAGCACATAGCCACCCAGCAACACACACATACTATCCCCCCTCAAATCATAAATCAGTACAGATAACTCTTAAAACAAAACTCCATTGACATTCTGTTTCACCCCCAGGAAAAATAGCTGTTAATCAATAAGGGTAAAATGACACAAATGTCAGAGAGAAGGGAGGTGAGAGGGGAGGAACACCTAAATATTGTTGATTGATGGGAGAACAGGAATGTAAATATTAGTTCTGCTACAAGGAACAATTATAAGAGAGGTTTCCCATCAAAGTAAAAAAGAAATGTTTATATACTTTTATATGGGAAGATCTAGCTTTCCCAGATCATTTGCTGAAGATACTACCTTTTCTCTTGTGTATATTTTTGATGCCTCTGTCAAATAGTTTATGGTTGGGTTTGTTTCTGTCTCTTCTATCCAGTTCCCTGACCTGAATTTCTGTGGGTGGGTGGGTTGCTTGATTGCTTGTTTTACCAACACTAGGCTACTGCTTGTCAGTGTGGGTGTAGTCTAGGCTGTCCACAGGTGTTATGATGCAGCCATAATCACTCCTGATTCATGATTGCTGTGGGGCTTCTGTCCATCTGTGTGGACTTTAGGGCTGGTTTTTCTATCCCGTGAAGAATGGAACTGTAATTGTTATGCATTGCCATGTATTCAATGCATAATATGTGATACAGCAGTTTTCACCGTACTAATTCTCCCACTTTATGAGCACAGAAGGACTTTCCATATTCTAATGTCTTCTTCAATTCCTTTCTTCAACGTTCCAAGTTTTAATTATAAATTATGCGTATGCCCTGGTATTTATATTTTAGTTACTTTGGTGGGATTTCTCTTCTTCCCTAATTTATTTCTTAGAAAGCTTGTTACTGGCATATAGAATAGCTACTAATTTTTGTGTTGATTTAGTATTCTGCTACTTTGCTTTAAGTGTTCACCGCTATGTTCTATTTAAGTTTGTTTTTTTCTTTTAATTGATGTACTAGAACACTGGCTAAAAGCAACTTGGGGAGGAAAAGGTTTATTTGGCTAACATATCTAGGTCACAGTCCATTGAGAGAAGTCAAATCTGAGGCAGGAGCCTGGAAGCAGGAGCCTGGAGGAAGGAACCTAGAAGTAGGAAGTAAAGCAGAGGCCATTAGAGGAGCTGCTTACAGGGTTGCTCCCACCACTACCACCACCACCATGCACCAAACCATTTTTCTCATCTTCCATAAAAATCTATTCAAAAGGATCAAAGACCTCAGTGCATAACGTTGACTGGATGTGGACCAACATGTAAGTAAGTTAATAAGTCTATAGCTGTATGTGTCCACATCTAGCCAAGCTTATGCAGTATTGGGAATCGAACCCAGGGCCTTTTTCATGCTAGGAACATTCAAGCAACTGAGCTACTCTCCAGTGCACATGTAGATGATTTTTATGAAGTAAAGTATGAAAATAAAACAGAGCTAAATAATAGCTTGAGCACACTAAAATATTGCATTGAGTAAATGGTTTTTAACACAGACTTTAATAATGAAGGTTTATATTATTATTATAAGTTTTCATTACTCACAGAGGTGAAAAAAGACACAAAGAAAGAAAATCAATGAAAATTAATATTTACGTCAACTAAATCAAATGGATGAAAGTAAAAGTATAAACTGAAGGTTTATGTGACTGTTGATAAGATTTGACACTGACTCAACATTGATGATGATTGTTATTTGCTTCTCAGTTTGAAAGATTATACTTATGTTAGTTAAAATTTCCCACATTTTGAAGGCACATATTGAAGGAAGTGTGCACAGATGAAAGAACACCTTGGACTGGCCTGGAAGACTCTAGTCAAATTAGATGCAACACGGTTGCTCTCATTTCTAAAATAGGTGAAGCTAGTTAATGGGCATGTACAGATGTGTAGAGAGAAGTTTCTGTCCTGCTCGGTCCCTCAGTCCCCAAAAAACACACAGCAGCTTATATTAATTATAAACTGGTTGTCCTATTAGCTCAGGTTTATTATTAACTCTTACAACTTAAATTAACCCCTAATTCTTACCTATGTTTAGCCACCTGGCTTGGCACCTTACTCAGTACAACATTCTCATCTTGCTTCCTTTCTGTCTGACTGGCAACTGTACACTGACCCCTTCTCTTCCCAGAACTTTCCTAGTCTGGTTGCCTTGCCTAAACTTGCTGCATGACTACTGGCCAATCAATGTTTTATTAAATCAATACAAGTGACAAATCTTTACAGGGTACAAGACCATTATCCCACAGCACTTCCCCTTTTTTCTTTTCAAAACAAGATTATGTCTGTAAGAGTAGAAGAGTCAGCCACTGGCTCTTACCTCTACCTCAGTCTGAAATGGTGATCCTACCTCCAAGAATCTCAGAATGAGACTGAGCCTGATAGCTGTCTCCTCCATTTTATAATCCTCTCTAGGACTGGGATTAAAGATGTGCACCACTAGGATTAAAGGTATGCACTGCCTGGTTTCTATAGCAATTAGTGTGGCTACTGGGATTTAAGGTGTGTGTTACCACTGCCTGGTCTGTAAGGCTGATCATTGAGGCTAATTTACTCTCTGATCTTCAGGCAAGCTTTATTTATTAAAATACAAATGAAATGCCGTAACACAGATGATTACATGAATACTATTACTTTCATTGAGCTTTAAATTTTCCATCATAAAAGACTCAACTGAGAGCAAGTAGAAATACATAAGAACTAGCCCATGTCAGAAGGTAATAGGCATCTGTCTGGAGGACACAGTGCTTGAAGAGGGCAAAGCACAAAGTCATCCATCTGGCATCAGCCTATCCCAACTTACTCTCCCTTCTTCCTTTCAGTGCCTTTATTTGCTTACTGCCATGAGTCAGCTGCTCTCTGACGCATCTAAGGATGAAGACATGTGCAAATACTACTATAAGATGATTAAGGAAGAAAACAGAACCATTTCTCAGAAAACCATCACTTCAATTGAGTTACACCAGGCACAAGGAAACATTCAGAAGACAAATAATGTAATTACTGATTCATTAAGAGAAATTAGAAGTACCTCACTCAATATTGCTGTAATAGGAGAGTCTGGAACTGGGAAGTCCAGTTTCATTAACGCCTTCAGGGGGATTGGACATGAAGAGGAAAATTCAGCTCCAATTGGCGTGGTGGAGACAACCATGAGGAGAACTCCATACAAACACCCCAATATTCCCAATGTGGTTATTTGGGACCTGCCTGGGATTGGAACCACAAAATTCCCACCCAAAGATTATCTGGAGAAAATGAAATTCAGTGAGTATGATTTCTTCATCATTGTTTCTGCCACACGCTTTAAGAAAAATGATATAGACCTCGCCAAAGCAGTCAGCATGATGAAGAAGGATTTCTACTTTGTGAGAACCAAGGTGGATATAGATTTAGAAACTGAAAAAGGATGCAAACATGCCTTTGGCAGAGAAAACTTACTGCAGCAGATCCAACGCCATTGTGTGAATACCTTTAAGAAAAATAACCTGGATGTACCACCGATCTTCTTGATCTCCAACAAAAATGTATCTGACTATGATTTCCCAATCCTGAAGGACATGCTGAGAAACAAACTTTCTACTCCCACACTGCAAAACTTTATGTCTTCTTCACTGAGTAAGGCTGAGGCAGACATTGAAAGAAAGCATGAGTTGATGCAGCGGTTTATCTGGCTAGAAACCATAAAGAAGGAAGCTTGGGCCAGTCTTTCCATAAAGGGCATCCTCAAGGACAGTGATATGGAGCAGTTGAAGGTGATTTTAAACCACTATCGAAAGCTCTTTGGAGTCGATGATGGAACCTTGAAACTCAAGGCAAAGGATTCCCAAGTACCTGTTGAAAAACTGAAAAAAGTCATTAAATCTGTTTATTTGTTGGAAACTAAGGAAAGGGAAACATTGGAAGGAAAACTTTTGAAATATTTGGAGAAATTTGCCTCAGCCAATGGTGGGCTCTTGGCTACAGGTCTCTACTTTAGGAAAACCTTTTACGTACAACTTCTGTTCCTTGACACAGTGGCTGAAGATGCCAAAGTTGTCCTTAGAGAGACATATTCAAAAATTAGTTCAAACTCACATCACCCACAGCTACTGACCGTGGATAAGTGTTACTCTTTCCTCATATCCTTGACAGGATTTGTGGTCGTTTTTTTTGTTTTGTTTTATCTTAGACTTTGGGCATGGAATGAGGTGTAATCTCCAAATATTTTTTTAATATTCAGATTATTTTAATCTTACTATATAAGAACACAAATATGTAATTTTAGAACATATTAATGTGAGTTAATTCTACAATAATCTGGTTATTCAATTACTTGTAAGGCTAGGTTTCCAACCCAGGCCTTGTGGATGCTAGGCAAGCATTTTATCACTAAACTATGCTCCTCACCTTGTGATAGCTTTTAGATTTAAGTAAGACAATAGTTTGACTATTCCAAAATTCTGAACTTATATAATTTAATTGCCATGTCTGCCTGTCTAACAATAATGATAGAATGTAGATTACATATTGTCATAATTCTGACAGATAATGTAAATGAAATAGGTTCTTCAATGTTCAACATAGTCATATGTAGCAAATCAATAATCACACATTTTTAAGCCCATTAATAGTAAGTCAGAATTAATTTGAATCCCTTAAGGACATTTGAAATTCTTTATTTGAAGCATTTATCTTATTTAACTTACAGGTGCATGTGGAGGCTGAAGGACAGCTTGCTTAGTCAGTTTTTTCCTTCCACCATGAAGGTTCAGAGCATCTAACTCAGTAACTCAGTAACTTGTTGGCCAGGACCTTTACCTGCTGCGGCATCTCACAGCACTAGCCTGAGTGAGCCTGGACCAGGCAGTTAGCACAGTGGAGATGCTGTGGCTACTCAGAGGATGCTGAGCTGACTGTGGACTGCACAGGACCAGCAGGACTGGGGATGCTTTTCTCTCAAGTTCATACAAGGTAGGAGACATAGAAAGCAGCCCCACAATGGGAGACAGACATTAGATCTGCAGCCCCTTAGTAGTTCTAATTTGCATATCTCTGAGGCCAGCGATGTTGCACACTTTTTCAAATGCTAATTAGTCATTTTTATTTCTTTTTTGAGAATTCTCTGTTCAGTCCCATGGCCCATTTTTTTTTATTGGCTTGTTTGTTTTCCTAGTGTTTACTTTTTAAATTCTTTACACATGGTGGCTAATTCTCTATCAGATTTATAACTGGTAAAGGTTTTCTCCCATTCATTTCTTCTTTGTCTGACACAATTATTGATTATTGCCCTTATTTGCTGAGCTATAAGAGTCTGATCCAGAAAGTCCTTGTCAATGTCTGTGTCTTAAGTGGACTCCGTGTTTTCCCCTATAAATTTGCAGTCTGGTCTTATATTGAGGTTCTTGGTCTATTTGGGGTAGATTTTTGTGCAGGGTGAGAGACAAGAATCTAATTTTGTTGTCCTACATGTAGCTGTCCAGTTTCCCAGCACTGCTTGTTGAAGATACTGTTTTCTCCAATTGATTTTTCTTTGGTGATTGTGTTGAAAATCAGATGGTTATAGTTTATGGTCTTGTTGTTGTGAATATTTCAACACTGGTGTATGGCTTCACATGGGTCCAAGAAATCAAGACTCAGAGAATGAACTTAGCTTCTGCGGCTGCAGGGGGCTCAGTCTCAGTGAACTGAAGCACCTTGCCTTCATCTCCCAGCATCTTTATTTTTTTCTATATTTACATTGTAGCTAGAAGATTTCCATATTTCAAAAGTGATAGAAACTTCTGAAAATACAGTACCAGGTGCAAACACCTGATTCATGAGGGACCATGGTTTTTCTCTAAACCAAGTTTTGCATAGGATGTGTATCCATGGGAGACTCTCAGTTAAGATTCACATGGGGCAGCAGAAGGTATTTGTAACACAAAGAAAGACCTAGGGGCTGTGTGAAAACTCCTACACCAGGCCAGGTATAACCCAGTCGGGTTTCATGGCTAGTGGAGGTTGCTTGCTATCCCTTTGGCTCCAGGTCAGCTGACATACCACTCCTTGTAGCTGGGTTCTCTAGCATAGATCTGAGTCTATTTTTGTGCCAGTACCATGTTGTCTTTATACTATGGCTCTGTAGTGTAACTTGAAAACAGACATGGTGTCAGCTCCAACAATACACTTTTTGCTCAAGATTTCTTTGACTGTCAGGGGTCTCTTCTTTTATGATGTTTTTCTACTTCTGTGAAGAAAGGCAATAGAGTTTTCAATGGGATTACCTTGACTCTGTAGGTTTGTTACAATAAAGCAGTCATTTTCACAATATTGCCTTTTCTAATCCATGAGCATTGGGAATCTTTCCATCTCTCAGTGTCTCTTAAATGACTTTCTTAGATGTTTTAGTTCAATTGTAAGGTCTTTTATGGCCTGGGTTAGCTGTATTTCAAGCAATTGATTCCCCAAATTCTATTCAGATTGTTTGTCATGGGTACATAGTAAGGCTACTTGTTTTTGTGTGTTAACCTTGTATCCTGTCACTTTGCAGAAAGTGTCTATCAGTTCCAGTAAAGTAAAGGATAATCATGATACAATTCACAGACCAAGAGAAGCTAAGTAACAAGGAGGGCTCAAGTGAGGATCCATGAATCTCCCTGGGTAGGGAAAATAGAATACACATCTCAGGTGAGTGGGGGGACAGGAAGGATCAAATGGGAGTAGGATAGAGGGAAAGAGTACTGGGAGAAACAACTGGAATTGGGGGGCTGTTGACTGAGATTTCTATTCCACCCAGTCCTGCAGCCATTCAGTCCCAAAGAAACACACTGAGGTCTACATTAATCATAAACTGGTTGGTCTATTAGCTCAGGCTTCTTTTTAACTCTTTCTTACATCTTAAATTGGCCCATTATTCTTGTCTGGTTTAGCCATGTGACTTGGTCCCTTATCAGTGAAGCATTCTCATCTTACTTTCTCTTCATCTGGATGACGACTGCAGACTGACTCCTCTTCCCAGAATTTTCCTGTTCTTGTCACCACGCCTCTACTTCCTGCCTGGTTGCCACACCTATACTTCCTGTCAGGCTACTGGCCAATCAGTGTTTTATTAAAATAATACAAGTGACCAAGTGACAGGATAAAAGGCCATTGTCCCAAAGCAAGGGGCATCTCAGTAAGAAGCTAGAAACCTAGTGCAATGAAACTCTCAGGAATAGATGAGGATGACCTAAGATGCCTAGTAATGGATACGGAGCCTGAACTGGCCATCTTTTTAACCAGGCAAGACTTTCAGTGGAAAGATTGGGACACAAACCCAGTCACTAAACCATCAACCTACACAAACCCAGTCACAAAACCATCAACCTACAATTTGTCCTTCCTACAAGATGTGCTGGGGTTAGAGTGTGCAGGAATTATAGGAGTAGTCAAGGAATGAATGGTCCAACTTAAGATCCATGCCATGAAAGGTAGCCCACTTTGACACAGCCTGTAGGGCCAGGACCCAGAGGCTCGATAACAAAGAGAACTAGAATAGATGCAAACACAACCGGAAAAGAAAAAAATCAATGAAATAATATGAATAATGAATAATGGGACGTGTTGCCCCTATTTTACTCAAGAAATCTTTACAATCAGTTAATAGAATTACAAGAGCTATTGCTAAAAATTGCAATGATTCCTCACATTTATTAGATCTCACTATAGTTTTTGCTACTATGGCCTTTTTGTTACCTGTCCCAGGACTTGTTGTTGGATTACAGCAAGAGATTTCTAAAATAACCTGTCTAATTACAAAAGCTTCTAATATTTCACCAGAAATATTCACAAACATTATCAAGAAATAGGAGGCTTGAGAACAACTGTTCTACACAATAGAGATACTATAGACTTCCTGTTAATTAAACATAATCTTGGTTATCAGCCATTTGCTGGAGTGTGCTGTTTAATATCTCTGATCTTTCTCATACTATTGACAACCAAAATGATGATCATGTAAAGAAACAACAAAATCTCTCAAACAAATTTTCACTAGTCGATGTGGCTAAGATGGTTTCCCCCTTCATCAGCTCTCTAATATTACATCTACTGGTCATCGTGATCAGTACCTGTGCTCTGCGATGTGTGACTCGCTCAGTCACCTGTCAGACAAACAACTCAAGCACCATTGTTACTTAACAACATAATTTAAGACGGTTTCCTCTCAAGCCATTGACAGAGACACATAAATACAGGGGTAATTTAGGAACCTGCCTGACTCCATTTGGAAGACAGGAGCCATTATGCTGTATTGCTAATATCAGTTTCAAACTCTGTTTCCTGGAACCTGCCCTGCCCCAATCTACAACATTGAGTTGTATTGGGGAACACTCAAATCCTTCATTTCCCTTCCTGATTACCCTAAATCTCCCTAATTATGTGGCAAACACATGGTGAAGGCCGGGTTTTGTTGTTGCTCTTGTTTGTTTTCATAAAATTTTTCTGTACTTCCTTAAGACCCCATTGATTTCTATAAACCATCTTTGCAAGTATTCCTGATTTTACCCTTAAGAGGGCCCTAAGAAATGAACTCAGAGTTGCTCTCTTTAATGGGACCAGAGAGGCAGTCTCTTGCCAGGTCTCAGGTACATCACAATAAAAACCAAGTTTGTTTCAAATTTGGCTCAAAATGGTCATAGTGGTCTTATTCTCAACCAGTGTGGTTCACATTGTAGGGGCATTTCTTGGTCTGTCCCAAAAGGGGGAAATTTTAGTAATGAAGCCACACAAACAGAAGAAAGCAAAAATAAATGCAAATCAACTGTATTAAAAGCTGTAAAGAAAAGCATCAATTCAAAAAGAAAATACATCAAAATAACATCCAACCTCTAACCAGCAACGCTAAGTGACAGGGAAATGTGGGGTGATAAATCTCAAGCCCTAAATGTAAATCATTGCTGTTAATATCACTATATCCACAAAGCTATCTTTTAAAATAGACAGAAAAATAAGAACATTTTAAGACAAGCACAAATTCCTACAGTTATGACAACTTATCTAGTACTTGAGAACATACCTAAATGAATACAATACGCAGAAGAAGAAAAAGATGGTCTCAGTTGTGACATCACAGGAAAGAAAGAAATCCATGAGAGAATAATGAACAGGGAGGAATCAGAAAGACTGCATCTTGTCCAGCACAATGAACCCACAAACAATGGGGTGTGGGCGAGGACATCTAATCAACCAGAAGAATAACCAAGATTACAGAATTTAGTAAACCTCTCTCAATGGTTATCGTCAATGTAAATAACATCAAAGGTAAAAGAATGAAGAATAGCTGACTGGATTAAAAATAAACATAAATAAAACTTTTAAGGGTCCTTGTTCCCTCAAGTAATGTGAGATATGAATATTCACACCACCTCACACTGAGCACAACCAAAAGCCCTGAATAGAATGCAGAGCACCTGACTGAGGCCCTGAAAGAAGGGAACAGTGGGGTGTCCAACCCTAAGTAGGACATCTCGACCATATCCCCTGGTCTTAGGGCTTTGCTTGCTGTGAAGAGACACCATGACCATGGCAACTCTTATAAAGGAAAGCATTTAATCGGGGTGGCCTATAGTTTCAGGGTTTTACTCCATTATCATCATGGTGGGACATAAAGGTGTGCAGGCGAACATGGCACTGGAGAAGGAGTTGAGAGTTCTACATCTTGATCTCAAACAACCAGAAGTGGTCTGTGTCGCTCTGTGCAGCTTGAGCACAGGAAATCTCAAAGATTGCATTCCAATCCAGTAACACACTTCCTCCAAAAAGCTACCGTTCCTGAGAGTGCCACTCCCTCTGAGCTTATAGGGACCAATTACATTCAAACCCCCATACACTTCTATTCACATGGCTCAGGGAGCACCAGAGAAGAGGCAGAAAAAATGTAAGAGCCAGAGATCAGGGAAGCTATGAAGAAGTGTCTTCTGAATATAGCAAGGAGGATGTACTCATGAACTCACAGCAGTTGTAGTTGTTGGTACAAATCCACACAAAATCTAGTCATCAATACTCCAGTATGGAGAGGGAAATGGGTCATGGAGCTCCTCCCATAGACGAGGGAGTTGATGGTGCTGAGGGAACGAGAATCAGTTTTTTTCAGTGGGATGGCCCATGGTGATTGCTCATGTGCCAATGAATGATATCTTCGCCCATGGGCATATGGGAAGCATTAGTATGATGTAGTGGGCTAATCATCTTACCAACATGACTGCCCAGAGGTGAGCTGAAGGGGATGACTAATGAAGATGCCAAACTTGGAAGTGAAAAGCCTTAAGAACCTAATCCTACACAAGAATTGTAGACCACCGAGGAAAGCTGAGATCAGCAGATGTGGTCTTCTCATCGTCCAGTGAAAATGGTCAGCCCTGAAAACATACATACATGTAACATTATACACATTGAACAGGTTATGTTTAGGAATATAACTGTACATATGTACACATGTGTGGAAAATAATAAAAGAAAAAGCCGTGGCTTTGAAGGAGAGTGGGGAGTGACATATGGGAGGGAATGGAGGGAGGAAAGGAAAGGTAGAAATACAGCAATTACAATATAGCTCTCCCCCCCCCAAAATAGAAGGACCTGTCCTCAGATGCTCAGACCCATACAAAGATACATACTTTTAAAATAATAAAGTAAATCTTCTTTTAATGGTCTACAGAGATAGCTCAACAGTTAAGAGCACATTCTCCTCTCATGGAAGGCCTGATATCGCTGCCTGGGGAGCCAGCCCCCAGCAGCACAGGACTCAAAAGGAATCTACAGAGAGAGCACATTCTAAGACTTTTATCTGAGGGGGCTAGGGAAAAAGACACTCACACTCTCTCTTGATGGTTTCTGTCTTTACTCTCTATTCTTCTGTATTCTTTCCATGTTCTTTCTACTGTATGCTTCTTTTTTTTTTACAGTTTATATACCCCAATCAAGTTTTTCAAGCAATATAAGAATTACACCATGGTTGCATTCTGCTTTTCAAGTGAATAAATGAATGAATACAAAACAAACAGTAAAAAATAGCATGTTTTCTATATCCCTTAGTTCAACATTTTACATGCTGCAGGTGGAAGACAAATTATCCCAAGAACCCATAAACCCTCATAACCAAGCAACTTGTAATAGATTAACCGAGTAGGCAATCAAAATATTCTTCTCAGTCAGGTGTTTTTACTAGCAGGCTATGCTTTGCAGTTACAAAGAACAGTACAACTACCTTATTACATCGTAAACCTAAACTTTTATATATGAAAAATAATCAGTCAGCTCTACTTTAAATATTTAGGGTATATATCCACTCATCA